TAAAGCGAAAATAAAAAAAAACAGGAAAAACGTTTTTTTTTAATTATTTTGTTTATTATTTACTAATCCCCCCCAGTGGCACAGCGGTATGTCTGCGGACTTCCAACGCTAGAATCCGGGTTTCGATACCCGTGGTGAGCATAGCACAGATAGCCCATTGTGTAGCTTTGTGCTTAATTACAAGCAAAAAACAAAACTAATTCCATTTTAAAATTTTCCAAGTATTCTTTGAAAATTGCTTTCAACACCATGCTGACACCAGGGCTCAAAGTCAAGCTAACGGCCATACGTATCCTCTATCAACCCTTGATGTTCCTACAGTTTTCACAAAAACTTTTTAATAAACAAAAAAATAAGATTTCAATAAAATTACTCCACACCATGAAAGAAATGTATCAGAATAAGAAGTTTTCTTCACAGGGATAGATGTGGCCAAGTAATTAACCTACCTGGAAGGTGAATCCAAGCAATACAAATATGGCAAGGTACAGGCTAATAGACTGACACTTGCGGAGCACAAGTAGACTAGTGACTGAACAAACGTAATTTAGTGGTGAGAAACCTCTATTGATGAGAGCGCTTACAAAAGAAAGAAAAATGTATGAAAAAAAAATGTCACGGAAGAAACATATTGATAATTTTGTTACATAATGGTTAAAACCTATTCATTTCTAATTTCCAATTATCTTAATAGTAATGTTATTCTCGCAAGATATATATATATATATAAATTTATTACTAACTTAATTGGTTTTGGTTGAAAAAAAGATACATTACTTTTCACCTAATTTATTCGAAATAACAGTTTTTTAAGCTTCACTAGTATTTTTATGCAATTGATATTATTTTTTTAAAGGTTGTTTTCTCTCATAATTTTTTGCAATATCTGAAATTTTGATTCCAGGGTCGCAGTACGCCTGTGTGTAACAATGAAAATTCAATATACAATTTTTTTTTCAATATAAAATCTAAAATATAAGATTTATAAACACTGCAACATGTCAGATTTGGCTAAGCCTAATTAAATTGTAGCAGTACACATACAAAACGACATGAGTAACTTTCATTTTTACATGTCAGTAGTTTATCGTACAATAGCTTGTTTATCCGAATCATGTGTTTACAAGACGATAATTTTCAAAATCATGGTTTCAGGTGAGTTTTTGTTTTGTTTTCTAATTATGCACAAAGCTACACAAGGGCTATCTGTGCTCTGATGAAGCATAACATTTTTTGGCTTGAAATAGCCGTATGCCCCATACCCCAGTAACATTAACATGCTGATTGTACTTTGCCCAATATGTGTTGGCTATTGATCTCACGAATTAGGACCACCTTTCAAACATTATGCATACGGGCCTGTGATAACCATCAACTTGCGTTTGTTTGAGGTTAAGCACAAAGCTGCAGAATGGGCTATCTGTGCTCTGCGCTCCACGGGTATCGAAAACCGGTTTCTAGCGTTGTAACTCCGCAGACATTCCGCTGTGCCACTGGGGGGCAATAACCAACGAATGAGAGTTGGCACATTTGTATCAACTTCCAAGACGGTAAAGAGTCTATAATGATAAGAAATCATGAAATATTTTGAAATTGCTGAGGTCACCTGCGTAATGACCATATGTTTTGTTTTGTGTTTTTTACAAATACGCGTTATCACTGGTATCCTAACAAGTGGGGTTAGATAAATGATATTTGTTTGGTTATCATGACAAATTTATATCACCTGTATGGTCAATTGTTTACACATTATATACGCAAAAAAGTAATAAGAATGCACCATTTCAGGTTTAATTTTCAATACTTTCCCGGGAGTTCCCCAATCAGTGGGAGGTCAAGAACCCTCCCCTGTGCGTGACTCAAATTTACGCCTAGTTACGGCCATGGATTCCATGAAATCACGCACATGGTTTTTAATAACACTAACAATTTGTAAAACGAGAATATTTGTATATGCAAAGTTTTAGAAGGCTTCAATTAACGAGTAAAGAGAAATAGGTCATATGTGTTCGATTTTTTCAGCTCTCTAACGGTAGGTCTGTCAACGATGTGTTTTCAATGTTTTAACAAACGACTGAGGATGATTCAAGTTAACTTAACTAGCCTGTTTCAAAATATATACTTATTCATTTGTCTCTACCTTGTATTAATATATTAATGTACTTTTATAGTGTGAAAGAGATCTGTTTATGAATTACTTTAGGTAGGCCCGGCATGGCCAGGTGGTTAAGGAGCT